CTGCCCCCGTGCTCCGCGGCTTTGCTCCGGACGCCTGTGGTACAGTCTGGGCTGTCAGCTGGCCGCGTGCTCCGCGGCTTTGCTTCCTCTCCCTGGTCTGCTGGAGACCAGGGAGAGGAAGTGCCCCGTTCGTAACTGCGGATCCGACGTAAGTCGGATCCGCGTAACTCGGGGACTGCCTGTAATTTATTTTTGTGGTACTTCAACTCAAGTAGTTACTTTCTTAAAAAAATCGTACTTTTTACTCTACTACAATTTCTGGAAGCACTTAATTACTCACTACAATCATTCTGGTTTGCCTAAGCACAGCTTCATGTGCAAGCATCCAAAAAAACCCGAACAAGTACAATGCCCCAGCCAACGAAGAAACCTTTTAATAGCCCCATCAATACCTTTTCATTCAAAAACAGTATCTCAGCAGGCACTGCCAGCCTGAGACCTGAGCCACTAGGGCGGCTGCCCAGGGTGATGTGCTGAGGGGGCAAATTTGAATAGTGTCATGGACTTTACCTCGGCCCAGCCAGCTAAATAGGAAGGAAGCCCAGCAGCCACCTCAACCGTGGTCATGGAGGACAGAGGCACTTACTTGTGTCAAGTAAATCCTCTGCTCTGGTGGGAGGAGCAGCAGCAGCGTAGGTGCCCAGGGCAGGAGCTTCCCTTTCTCCCTAGGACAGAGGGCCCCCTGTAGAATCCCTGTGGTGTGAGGGTGGGACAGGCTATGCTGGAAGACGATCAGGGTGGGCAGCTGAGTTTGATGGGGATTAAAGAATTGTGTCTGTGTGCGCAGCTTCCCTCTATATGCTGGCTGGCTGGGATTTGGAGCAACCCTGCTATATGGGTGTGTGCTAGTGTGGAGCAGGTGTGGGTTTGCAAGTGAAAACAGCGATTGCAAGTGAAAACAGTCGGATCAAAGTATGTTACTAAATTAAAATGAACAAAAATGTTCAATTCTAATCCACTAAGAAACTTGTTACATACAATTTCTTACCTTAATTAGCTTTTCTTATCTCAGGTTAAGAGTTTCAAGTCAGAGTTTATCTTTACTCTTACTTGGGTCTACAGCTTTTTCAGCGTTCTAAGTTGTTAAGTATCCTCTTAGGGTGGACCGGGCATATCAAAGATCAGCTAAAGACAAGGACTAAAAAAAATAAAAAATGATGGCTTCCCATTGCTTAGATTTTTCCCTAGGGCAGTAGTCTTTGTTCTCCTCCCCTCCTCCTGGCCCCATCCCTATAGAAAATTACCAGGTTCAAGATGGATTCCAGTACTAGGTGGCATGGTCACATCTTTTTAGGACCAGCCACAGTTTGGGATTATAGGATAAACAAGACTACAGGCAGTCCCCGGGTTACATACAAGATAGGGACTGTAGGTTTGTTCTTAAGTTGAATCTGTATGTAAGTCGGAACTGGCGTCCAGATTCAGCCGCTGCTGAAACTGACCGCCAGGGAGACGGGGGGGCAAAGCAGAGCCAAGCCGCGGAGCGCGTGGGCAGCGGATAACCCTGTCCGCTGCCCGCGTGTTCCACCGCTTTGCTTCCTCTCCGTGGTCTGCTGGAGACCAGGGAGAGGAAGGGCCCCGTTCGTAACTGCGGGGACTGCCTGTATAAGCAGTAATAAGAAGAGATCTTTAAAAATGTTAGGAGCATGAGGAAGACATCAGAAAGTGTTAGTCTGCTTAGTGAGGAAGAAGATCTGATGACATCAAGAAGGTCTGGGAGGTTTAATGCCTATTATGCTTCAGGTTTCATTAAAAAGATTAATGGTGACCAGATATTTAATACAATTATTCACAACACGAGGGAAGAACCCAAGACAAAATAGGAAAATAACAGATTAAAGAATATTGTGATAAATTAGGTAGATTCAAGTTAGTAGTACCTGATGAAATTCATCCTGGTTACATAAGATATTAACTGAAGCAAACTTGCAAACTTGGAACCATTAGTAATTATCTTCGAGAACCCTGGAGGCCCCAGAGGACTGAAGAAGACCTGACTTTTAAAAAGAGAATAAAGAATATGTGGGAAATTACAGATCAGTCATCCTAACTTCAATACATGGAAAGGTACCAGAACAATTTATTGAACAGTCATTTTGCAAGTGCCTAGAGGATAACAGAGTAATGAGGAACAGCCAGCATGGATTTGTGAAGAACAAATCATGCAAACTGAGCTTAAGTTTCTTCTTTGACAGGGTTACTGGCCTTGTGAATAGAAAGGAGCAAAGCCTCGCTGCCCGAGCCCCTCCCCCCGCCGCTTTGCAAAGCCTCGGGGGAGGCAGCAGCGGAAGTAGGAATAAGAGGTCCTCCGGAAAAGGGCTTTATTCCGGAGGATGGTGCCAGTCTGGACCCTCTTTTCCAGCTTTCCCCAAGCTGGGAAAAAAGTGGCGGCCATGTTTATTTAAATCCCGCGGGGGATATTTAAATCCCCCGTGGATTTCCCTATTCAAAGTTAGAAATTAGCATGCCTTTTCCGGAGAAGGGGCCAGTGTCGACGTAGCCCAAGGGCTTAGTGAAACTGGTTTATTTAACAGTTCATTCAGCTAAAGTAGTTATTCCTTTCCAAACATGCCTAGAAAGAAGTTACTTTGTGCAATCAGAAGAAAAGGCTGCAGCTTTCTCTCCTTCAAACTTTAGCTTTGTTTTTTGTATTGGGGTAGTGCCTAGAGGTCCCAGTTAAGGAGCTTCAACATTGTAGTATAGGCATTGTGCAACATAGCAAAAAGATGATCCTTGTGCCAAAACCTTATATGCACTCGGTGCCTTGTTTTATATTTAAATTATGACACATAGTTGGCTTCAGTACCTAACACACATCATCATAATCCACTAATAAGCAGTAGTCACATCATTCCAGCTGCCTAGTTGCCAAATGTTTGATAGACCTCATAGCAAAGTACGGTAAGGTGAAACTTGCAGTGGTTTTACAGGTAGCATGCATGAAAGAGTGAAGAGCTGATTCAAAAGCTTCATAAAGGGACAGTCAAGATTTGTGGCTTTGGCATAAGACTGGCCTCTCAGTGTATGGGAAATGATAGATAAGGGAGGGAACAGGCTAGAAAGGTCCTTAAAAATGAAGGCACTAGTAGCTTTTCTTTGGAGTGGAGAAAGGGGAGCCCTTGGGTGACTGCAAAAATAGGTGTGGCTTGTCTCCATCAGTCTAGAACGTCTGGATTCAGAGAGTGCCTTGAATAAATAAAAATTGGATGTTATCCTTTCTAAAACTTTCAGTGAGAATTTTTACAATTTGGGATGTCCTTAATGAAACTTCTTGCTTTAAAGATGTTTCTCTGACAAACTTGTAATGTTCCAGAAACATAAATGAGGAATTTTCAGACTCTCATAACATGGACCTGATCTTAATAGGGATATTAAAAAGCAGTTGAGTAACTGAAAATCTCAGT